TGAGCACTTAGGTTCGTTGCTTTATTGTTCAAAGGTCTTATAACCACTCAGATCTCACATTCAAATCTGAAGATCTAGCATGCGCCACTCTCTCTAGTTCATCTCCTGTTCCAAAAATGCCTCGAGTATCTTGTGAAAATCTTCTCTGCCATTTTAGTTAACCTTCAATCTTGGCAATGGATAGCCCAACATCAATCTCTCAGTTGTCCTCGATTTCTCTAGTAACATTTCATTCTAGCATCAATCGGTTAGGAAAAGTTTTTGCACTCAGACTATTGATACTTCTTATTGTAGCATCATGAGTTTGGAGGGCTGTTACAGTCATTAGAATTATTATATTATCATATTAATATTATCAAATATGTTTAATATTTATTACTAAGGCGACTTTCTTTAATCTTATCTTCTATTGGAGCTACTCCAACCTTTTCACGTATATGCTCATTTCGTATCCTTTCTCTAAGGGTAAAGCCACTCATCCACCTGAGCATCCTCATCTCTGCCACACTTAACTTATTATTATGCTTCTCTTTTAATGGCCAACATTCGGCACCATAAAGCATTGCAGGCCTCACTACCATCTTATAGAATTTTCCCTTAAGTTTGAGGGGTACATTTCTATCACATAACAAGCCCGATGCATTCCTCCTCTTCAACCATCCAACTTGAATTCTGCTGATAATATCCACATCTATTTCACCATCACTCTGAACAATAGATCCAAGATATCTAAAACGTGTACGCTTATTAATGACTTGATCGCCCAAAGTCACAATCCCCTCACTAGGTCTATTACTACTAAAATTACACTCCATATATTCCGTTTTAGATCTACTCAAGCGAAAACCTTTAGTCTCTAATGTTGACCTCCATAATTCAAGTTTACTTTCAACTCCCTCTCTAGTCTTATCAACAAGAAGAATATCATCAGCAAAAAGCATACACCAAGGTACATCCTCTTGCAAATGTCTAGTGAGAACATCCATGACTAAAGCAAAAAGATATGGGCTTATGGCATCTTTTTAGGATTCAAAATAATATTTAAAATTTTAATAAGCCAAGAAATTCCTTCATCTCCTAAGTATTTTCACATCTCTATTGAAATATCATCAGGTCCAATATGAATGACTAGTTCAAAATCTAAAAAATTATATATTCTACTTCCTATTAAATAAGAATATAGATAGAATAGAAAAATAATAGAATAAATTCTAAGAAAAAGGAATCAAACAATGAAGTTTAATATCACTTATATAATATATACTAAAATAAATTCAAGATAAACATGCATGTACCAAAAAAAGCTAAATAGACAAGCACAAAATCTGAAAAGAGCTAGATCTAGGAGTGTCAATAAATAACCCGATCCACCAACATGATCAAAAAATCGATATTAGGTAGAGCCTTTTAATTAACAGGTTGGTTCGGGTTGTGCATTCCGACCCATTAGTCGGTTTCTCCCGCCAACTCAATTTTGAGCCGAACATGACCTGTTTAATATTTTTTAATAAATTCTTTTATTTGTTTGTATTTTTAATTAATTAATCAAAATTTTATGGTTAAAATGTTAATAAAATATTTTTTTATTAAAATGTTTTCTAGCAGGTCAAGTTTGGGTCCACATATTTGACCCGTTTATTAAACGGGTCGGGTTCGTGTTGACTAAATTCGGGTAGAGTAAATTTCAAGTCGGACATGAAACCCACCCATTGACCTGTTTTGACACCTCTAGTTAGATCTGACAAAAAAGAGAAATCATATTATTACAAATTAAAATTTTAAAAAAAAAATTGAGAAAACAATAGGTAATACGACAATTAAGCTTATTATTCTAACCAAGATGAGAAATCAAATAATAATAATTGAGAAAAGAATCAAAATGGTCGTCAGCTATATTAAAAAATAATTTTGGTCCCTCAATTATTTAAAGAGAAACCAAAATAGTCTCACCATGGGACTAGTTTGGTTCCTTTTTAAGGACTCAAGGAACCAAAATAATCTTTTAATATAGTTGAGAATCATTTTGATCATTCATAAAGAGTTACAGCACCATTTTAATCCTTTTTCCAATAATAATTTACAATTGATATCGTTAACTAAATAGTAATAAATCAAAAAATAAAGTAAAAATATATAATCAATTAAGTAATCCTGACATAAGTGGCAATAATTGGAATAAAGTATTTTCTAAAAATAATACAAGATAAATATAGTAAATATAAATATAAAATAAAATATAGCATGATAATGATATAAATATCTGAATATATAACAATATAAATAATATGTAGAAAATATAAGTTAAGAAAATGGAAATGACCAGCGTCACATTCAATTTGAGACACTTCAAAGCCTTCCATCAGACCGGTTATAAAGGATACCGAATTTTTTTATTAATTGTGAAACGGAAATATAATCACCAGCATATTTTTATTAGACACATGGTGATGTCAATCCAAATATTGTACTCATAAAAAAAAAAAGCATGATGAGTTAAGATAAGGTAATCAGCATTCTGAATTCTGATATTATTTTAGCTTTTTATTTTAGAGTTTTCTAAATTTTCATTCAATTGGATATAACATGTTTATAACCATGTTACTTACGAAAACTAGATATGTTCTCTAATGCTTTGGGAACCTTAATTGGTTTGATTTATTGCTTTGACTATAAGATGATTTGATTCAGCGCTTACTGGATTCCTTGGTTCAACTATTTATGATTGTCGATTTTAACAAAATTTGTCCTTCACTTTTTGTCCAATCTCTTTCTAACTATTTTCATCAGTTGTGACCTGTTGTGTCCCTGATTCCTGCTTGTGATCTTCTATTTCCTATTATATGGAATCATTTGTATATCCATTTCATTCTACATGGTATTCTTGTAAGGAGACACTGATTACATCACTACGATTGTATGTCGAAGGCCGCAAATCAGCGTTGTTTCCATAAATCGCTAACAAATAGCCGCCGCATTGCTTCCCTATTCAATTGCTTTCTGATTTTGGGACTGTTTTGCATTGCAACAATAATTGGAATTGTTGAGGTCTAGGCTAACCATTTTAGCTGGAATCTGAGATTGCGGAAACTGGGACTTCGTAATTTTTAGCCTAATTTTGTGAGACTGCCAATATTGAGCCCTTTGTGATTATTAATAGAGCTATTAATACATTTAAGAATTCAGTCTATCGCTTAATTAAAATTCTTGCTTCCTCTCAACTTGTGTGTTAGCTGGATTTAAATTCCTCAAGTTTAATGCAAATGTTGATTAGAACTTCTAGAGGAAACTTTTTCCACGCAAATTTAGACACAAATCTTCTATTCGGTGATTTATATCAATTGCTCTTTGCATCTACATAATTTGAGATTGATTTTGCATGTATGAATGAAATTTAGTCAAATTTTCTTCTGATTCTAGATTCTCTAGTTTTGGAGTGAATCTTGATCATCATATGATTTTATTTTATCTCAGATTTTTTACAAAATTTCTATTTTCATAATCGCAAAGTAATCATTTGGAATGAATTATACATGATTTTTCATACAAATGAAATTTTTTTTTATCTGAATTAAAATTTAGTAAACAATAAATCTTGATTTCATCTGTGTGATTTTGTGTATCTCATCATAGGTTTGCAATTGAAAATAATTGAAACTAAGATGGCTTGCATCGTATTTGATATAAGAGCTTAAGGTTGCATCATTGTGTTAATTAGAAGCATGATATAATAATTAGGTTAATTTAAAACGTAAGGAAATATGCAATTTAAATAAAATTGGGTAAGCAATTATTCTAGGCAATTACAACATAATTATCATAATAATCATAAGGTTTAAAAGTATAATTCTATATTCAATGAAAGTATGATCTCAATAAATTTTCAATTTAGATTGATAACTTCGAAGATTTTTCCAAAGAAGTGAAAATGTTAAATAAAAATTAGTTGGACATGCTCAATCATTTAGGTGAAGAGCAAAATTTATAATTCGATAGATATAAAGACCAATTGCATATTTAATCTGCAAATTATAAATAATTGAGCATGTCCAACTCATTATGATGTGTTTAAACTCATTAAGTTATCAACTTCTATTTCTAAACTAGAGGTCCAAGAATCAAGCACTTCCGAAAAAAAAAAGATACAATTCCAGCTCATCTATAGCAATGAAAGGCACGCAACCTTCAAAGCATTTCCATTTGTGAGCTGAATACTTGCTAACATCGTTGACAATGTAGTGAACCGTGTAATTTAGAAGTAAAGCACTTCACTTTCCCAAAGATGTGTTGAGCAAAGCATAAGCAAGCTCGGAGCGCCCGCACTTTGATTCTCAAGCACAAAGAGCTCTAAGTGCACAATTCAAGCTTCATTTAGTAACGCATTGCCTTTTTTATCTTTCCAAAAAACCAGCATTTATCACAATTTTTTGCTTTTGAAAATATGGTACAATAGAAAGCCCAAGTGCCTTGTTCATGGCTCAAAGATCACTGGAAACACATTTAGTGCAGGGTCTCCAACTCAGTGTTGACATAGAATTTAAGATGTTCCCCGAGGCTAAATTTAGATTCTTGAAGTTCTATTTACTATTTAGGGTATCGAGCAAATTAGTTAAATATTATGTGATTATATTGCTATTTTACTTCATTTGTCTTAATACTGCAAGCTTGGGAATTGTATACAATTCAATTACCCTAGCAGAATAAATTTTGCCAAGATTTAAGCTACATGTATACTTATCGTGAAAGAGTATAAATGGGATGCACTTTAGTTATCAAAACCATCACTTTGTTAACAGAGTTACATAAATCACTACATCCTTTGCTTTGCATGTTGCGCTTTTGAAATTATATGCTTTGATCCATGATGGAGCAATTGCACCAAGAATGGCAAAAAGACTTGCTAAAATATACTATACCTTTGAATCACATATCAAACTTCAGAAATAGCTATAATAGAGTAGGATCTATATATATCAAGACATGGCATTTCATTCAAAAGGGACAAGATAAACCTGTGTCAACGATGGTCGGTTGTTGCCCAGCTGTGAGGGTCTTTGACTCCTTAAAGGTTATCTTCCCGGGAATATCAATGTCGAACAGATGTAACTGCATTCAATTTGCTAGATGTAAATATGTCTGCCTTTGGAGTTGCAAATCAGTCAAATTAAATTCTTCGTGAATTGTTCTAGATCTAAGATATAAAATTCTCATAGAAAACGGTGCATAGTTTTCAAAGAAATGGAGCACAACTAATGCAACACAAAGAAATATGGGAATTTCAACTGAATTCACTAAGATAAATATAAAAACAACAAGCAAAAAAAATTATTACCACTACCTTTCTATGTTTACCCTTGAGACTTCCATCCGTACCGAAAATGCAGCATGTGTTATACAAGTGATCACCAGAACGTTCTGGTATTGAACCACCAACAATAGTAATCTTCAAGGAACGAGCAGCTTCGCTAAGCATGGAATATGATGGTGCTGCACCATCACCAGATTCAATATCCTCCGCATACACAGGAAAGCTTTCATTTGAGTATGGACTGTTCCATATTTCCTAATATAAAAGATCAAAAGATCTCACAAAAAATACATTATGAACGCCAGTCAACTAATAGAACATGATGAATTTCAGGCCATTATGTTTGAAAACTTGAATTCATGAGTAGTGAGAAGTCCAGGAAAAAAAAGTTTTTTCTCGGTATAAATAAATAAATAATATTTAAGACGTTAACTTAAACATAAACTTCAAAGAAGCATGGGTTAAAAAATAAATTACCATGAAAAAAAAATCTAGTAGCCAAGTACTTTGTAAGTCTTTTAAACCTCATAGGTTTGGTCAATATAATATAACAAGGTAAGGTAGTATCCAAGCATTTCAAAATGTATTGAAACATAAATGTATATGTTACCTCACAAGCACTATGGTGTTCATGATTACAAAAATAATGACCTAAGCACCAAATCCTCACACCTGAGCTAACCACTACAATTAAAAAAAATTTCATAATCTCATAAATCTTAATACTGGTAACAATCCTGAAGCAACTACAAATGATCAAATTGAAGTTCAATCCAATTCAATTTGATCCAAAAAATGTGCAAGTCTACAACTAATTAGATTTTTTCCAATTCTACCTTGGATGTAGGGACAATAACACGTATTAGTTAAAGATAAGCATAAGCATCAGCCAACCATCATGATATTCCTAAATTAACCTAGACAATGCCTGCAAATAGGCCATTTGTGATTTCATTTGGGAGATACCTTGATGGAAGATTTAAAAGAGAAAATTTTGGGAAACTTGTGGATCCATTCTTATCAATGCCTTTTTGTCATATTTTTTAGTCCAATCCACCTCTACCAAAGAGCTCTTCACATCTAAATGAGTTCCACTCGAAAGAAGTTCCGCTAAGCAAGCATACCCTCCTCAAATTTCATTGCTCATTCGCCTTAATGCTGACCAAACAAGCTCCTCTACAATCATTTTGTCATCAATGAACAATCAGGAACTATTGCCATAAAAAATTTTGTTGACCCATTCATGATATAAGGTTGGTATTCTGGAGGATTGATCTTGCTTAGCTTTTTGCTATTTCCAGCCTCTAAAACTCAAAATCATCACAATATGATGATGACTTCCAAATTAGGCTCTTTTGCAAACAACCTTGCATTGATATTATGATATGAACCCAATCAACCAAGTCACCACAGAGTTCTTAGCCGAAGCACAACAAAGGTGAGAAATCAAATTTACCAATATGGCTCAAAAACTGCCACATGGAAAGCATCAAGTTGGGTGAATAAAAATGCATGTCCTTTTATTTATGCTAGTTATGCTAAATAATGAAGAATTGGGTCAGTGCTTTAGGTTGTTAGGGGAATTGACACTTTTCATACAATGGGTAAAGGCGTATCTTTTTCATACTATGGCATGTAGGAATGCCTCCGGCACACAACAATCCCACAATCTTAAAACAAACTAAACAGTTTTGGAAAACATCGACTACATAAATCTGTGACATGTAATATCTTAGCATTTAAAAGTCCGCAATACAATCAACAACAATGCACAAGTTCAACGCAGAGATTCTCCGAGCATGCGAGGGATCTAGCATCCAAATAGAAAAAAAAAATAAACAAAAATAAAATGCAATGTATAGCTCACAGGCAAAAGCACGAGCTGAGCCCCCTTCGAAGCAGCCTCCTCGATCGCTCTGCGAGCATGGGCGATGTTCCTTGACTTATCCGCCGTCACTGACAACTGGCATAGCGCAATCTTAAACTGCAAACAAAACCAGCAGAAGATCTCCAAAATTGAAAATTCTGCTCAAGTTCCATCTCATTAGATCAAATCAAGAAGAAAGCACGCGTGACCTTGGAAACGGGAGGAACCGGAGGCTGGAGAGCGGTGGGAAGCCTAGCTTCTTCAGGCTTGAAAACAGATGCCATGGCGGGTATAGCAGTAAAGCGACGAACAGTAGTCGACACTGGCTGAGTTGTCGATAGCAAGCTAGGGTTTCTAGGGAGACGAATGGATAGGAGGCGGAGTTTAGACGACGGCAAGAGACGGATTGTGCGCGCGTAGGTAAGGACGACCCCCATTTCTTGAAAGCGACTGGGTGTATAAACCAGTTAATAATCCTTTGAAAAAAAAAGGAAATTAATTAATTATCCTCACATATCTATGGCCCAAATTTGTAATTAGAAATTAAGATTAAGGTGGTAATAAAAAAGGTTAACGTTTATGAACAATATAATATGCCCAATAATCTCCATTTCAGCTCTTTTAAAAATTTAGGCTTTCAGCTTTATTATACAAAATTTTTAATTTTTGTACTAAAATGTTGCTTTAAGTATAATGGCATCTCTAACCGAATAACTCATTTTTCACTCCAAAATGCACTAATACACACAAAAATGCAGTAAATTATCTCCAACCGAACTCCATTTTCTAACACACAAAAATATATTCCTAGTATATTCTTTCACATACTTCATTTTATCTAATTTTCACTGTGCATCGGCAGTCAAATAGCGGCAAAATGTCGCTCGATGGAGCGATTAAAGAAATGCAAAGGAGATGCCCTAAGAAAGTCGTCCCAAACGGAGCCTTAACAAATCATGTTAATTTATATATAGATTATTGCATTAGAATTTATTTTGGTTTAATTTAATTATAAATATGATTCAATTTTAAATTATATCATGCACAACCTAATCTTTTAGGGGCTCCAACAAATCCAAATTTAGTAAATCCTAAAAAAATTGTTCGGCAACATTAGTGTTAAATTCTATTAAATCTTGTGAAATTATTTGGATATATAATTCAGAATTTAAGGTTGTTATTCATTAAAAACTCAAATTTAATTTATATTTTAAATACAAGTTACTCATTCATTTTAATTTAAATTATCATCAATAAATTATAACTATAAGTAATTTAATTATAAGTTTAAGTATTAACAAAGCCCACACCTACCCAGATACCCACGCATACCCAATGGGTATGGGTGAATATGAGTAAGTCCATGGCACCATGGCTAGGTATGGGTGCACAACCTGGCCTTAACATCGAAAGATAAAATAATTTACATTGCTAATCATTGTATGTCGAATGTTATCCCAATCCTCACTACGCAGTGCACAACCCTGAATTGTGTTGCGACCACGATAAATTTTAATATGCGATTTAAAAGTTTGCAATTAAAATAAAGGGTAACATACTCGAGACCATCAATATGTGGCAGAGTGTGTTCAAAAAGCATGAAAAGTGGATGAGTATGGATGGGTGCGTCATGCTAAAAATCATCATGGGTGGGCGTGGATACCCAATGGGTACCCAACTAGGACCCTATGTGGGGCTTTGAGTATTAGTGAGGTAGCCTATAATGCTTGATACCAACTACTTATGTAGGGCAATTTTTTTTTTTTTTTTATGAGACAAAAATTGAGCTCCATTACCTAGCATGATTGATGTTAGATGTAAAAAATTCATTATTGCCTAGGGAAACAATATGCTTGTTTTTATATTGTCTGAATTCAATTTTATGTTCATTGAACTTATTTTTAGAAGTGGTTAAATGTTATATTTTCATATCATGGTCCCAACCAGCGAAAAGTTATTACGTCCGGCAAAAAATCAAAAATCTGGATGAATACCGAGCAATACCGAGTGTTGTACCGAGCACGGTACCGAGCACCCAAGTGACGTGGCGCTTTGTTATTGGTCTCTGGACGTGTTCGATGTTCGGACACAATAATTACTCCAACTACACGTCATTATTAACAAGATATCATGTGTATCTTATTTTATATATGCAATTTTTTTAGCTTTATTTTGGCATTTCATTTACTAATGGATCGCCTGCCAAGATAGGCAATTAGCAAGAGCAGTCTGAGCAACAGGAGCGATGGGTGGATGTGATGGCCAAAGGCAATAGATGATGAACTTATACTACATTTGAGGCAGCTTTCTTCGTGCTTTCTAAAGTAATTTTTTAGTACAAAATTTTTTGAACTAAAAGTATTTGTACTAAAAAATTGTTTTAGAAAGCATTAAGAAAGTTGTCCCAAATGAAAACATCAATCTTTATTTTTGCTTAAAATTATGGTGTTGGAGACTATCATATCTCAATTCTTGGAAGAATTTTTTTTTTTTTTCTAATGCTTTTTGGGACATTTTTTTTTTTTTTTGCTATTTTCTAAAAAATAACTTTTTAGTACAAAAATTTCGTTAGTTAGAAAATTTTCTACTAAAAATTATTTTAAAAAGTAGCAAAAAAAACTGTCTCAAATAAAACCTAATAAATATAATGATTATCCCACAATTTTTCATATTCATTTAATCAGTGTTCTGATCACTATTTCTAGCAACCATTCTCTGAAGCAGATTACTGGAGATAATTCCAATTGTTATGATTGGTTTGAATTATTTATTTATTTATTTTGGTAGACTTTG